AACACGTGGCACAAATCACTTTGCCATTGCTGTGTGCAACTCCCAAGTCCTCCTGTAGCACAGGAACCTTTTAGAGTTGGGTGAATATTTCCAACTGCTTTTGTTCTGTCCTAATAAACTGTGATCCTAACCCTGCACTTTGTCCTCGGGAGTTGAGAAGAAAGAGCTGGCCACCATGGGAACTGGAAACACTGCAAGAAAATGAACACGGTTGGTGGAAAACATCTGAATAATACATGATATCTTTGGGCTGGGCATTTAATGGGTGTTTCTTTGTCCGTGGATCACTAAAAAATAGCCTCTGAATTGAGACATGAAATATTAATAAGCAGAAAAAGAGAAAAAATGTATGTACCAATATAAGGCAGAGTCAAAGGCTTGAGGACTGTTCAGGGGTTAATTTAATTTTTAAGAGATGCAAATGGTCACAGCATCCAGTCCAAAAGGCTCAACTGCTCATAGCAAACAGAGGGGAGAAACTGTATTTCTGTGGATTAGAGGTTTCTCCTGAGGATTTTAGATTTATAGTACTCCAGATAAATTGGGTTAGAACTGGCAGAAACAAGCAAGTCAGCTGCTGAATTTTATCTGCAGCTAATTGGCTTCCAAAAAGTCTGATCTCCCTTTGCTCACAGAGAGATTCCTTGAAGTCTGAGCCTTGGAAGCGGATGCTCCACTGAGCGACATGAAGGAAGGATAAACATGAGGGCACAAGGAAAAGGTGGGAGGGAAAATAAATGCAGATGCCCTGTGCCAGCTGTTGCAACCCTTGTTCATTCACCCAAATGTCTGAACAAAGGAGTAACTAGTCCACGGTAAAATGCAATCAAGGCACATATATCCCAGCAATGGGCACGGGGTGCAGGGAGGGATCTATTTCCTTACACTTCACTGAAAGGAACAGAGAGAAGAAAACACCTGCAAAGCTGTTAAGTTGAAGCATTTTCAGGAACAGAATGATATTTTCAGCAACAATGGACAGTTATTTCTTTTTTTCTTTTTAAGAAGGTGTCAAGTAGTGCAGATACTTTTCTACCAAAATTTCTTATTACAGCTGCAGTATTTAAGATGACAAAACCCCCTTTCAGTAAGCTGTCAGTTCCTGAATGGATATTTGGGAACGCTCTGCTATTGCAGAAGACAGGGAGAGTTTTTGGCAAACAGCGAGACAGCAGGGAAAACAGCTCACAGGAGGTGTTGCAGGAAGCTTAGTGGTCCACCGTAAACATCTCCTCAGTCAACACTGTTCCAGCACTTTGAACAAATCACCTATTGAGTCAGGGACCACGGGATATGTGAAAAAAAAGGCTTGCAAAACAGCATGCAAAGCGTCTCATAGACTAAAAATAAATAGAAGCAAAACTCTCATTTCCTGAAGTATGTTTGGTGAGCTGAGAGCAAGCTTTCAGGTGGCACCAGCCGGTTTGTTTTTCAGGGGACCACTTCTGTCTTTGCAATATTTTTATGTGAGTGTCACCGTGCTTCTTTCCTCTCCATAAACACTTCTGGAATTTATCTGTGTTTATCCAGGAACAACAACGATGGCAGATCAGAGAGGGTGGTGCAGGGGCTTAATCCACCTGAGGGTCCTGAGATTTAGGGCCATAACTGTAAAATGGGCCTTGAAAACAGAAGCCAGTGGAGTAAATTGAGAATTGGCTTGATATATAACATGGCAGTGACCTCGGAGACAACTGTAGAAAGCAGAGCTCTTGGTATGTGGATGTGTGACACAGACAGAGAGAACGTCAGAGCAAAGGAGCCCTGTTTGGACAGAAGTGCAAAACCCCAGAGCCATCAGAGAAGCACAACTGCTCCGAGAATGGCAAGGAAAGGCTTTGTTTATTCCACGAAAAGCAGCTTTGGGACAAGCCATGGAAGCGCCACTGTACCTTGCAATATCCTTGGCAATTTGCTCGTTGAGACAATTGATGAAGGCAACAGAGTGGGTCCCGGAGATGTAGCTGCCAGTGACGGCTGAGTGCACTTGAAGAGCCACACTCCTCAGCACCGGGTACATCAGAAATGACAGAGCCATCGCCTAAAACGCAAAACATACAAGCGCTGATGTTAGGAAAAACGTTGCATTTTGTAAAAAGAAGCATTTGCTTTATTTATGACTCAGGAGAAGTCTCCATTCTTCTTTCTTTTGACATTACAGTAATGTCAGTTGTAATTGAAGTGGAAACATGCTCATAGGGGGATTCATTCTTCTGAAACGGAGCCAGTTTAACACCATGGTGAATGCTCAGGGCAGGAAAGGGGCAGTTTTAGAGCCTCCACCAGCTCACAGAACTTCAGGCCAGCTCCAGGAGGTCATACTACAAATTAATGGAGCACAGAGACCTCATGGCAAAGCCCCAGCAGCCACAACTGTTCTTCCAAAAGAAGAATAAGGAGGTAAGTCAGTGGTTACCTCCATTAAAAAAAAGGCAATAATAAGCTTCACGGATCTATATATTGTTTTTGTCCCCACAGTTGCAGTTTTATCAGAAAAATAAGGAAAAGAAGGGCCTGATCTGCTTTAATTCAGCCCTGAAGGCCCAGGATGATTATTCTCTCTTGCTGACAAATGTTTGGCAGTCTGTCCAGGCTAAGGTACAAACACTGCATAGCAGGTAAAGATAAGACCTAAATGCAAGTTTGGGTCTTTTTTACTCCTCATTGCCTGATATGAAAAGCAAAGCCAAGTTACTAAGCGATTGTTTGGGCACAGAAATCCTCATGGACAAAGCCCCAGTGTGCAGGGCAGAAAACAATCACACTCTGCAGCAGCAACAAGTCAGTTTTGTTGTACAGCAGGTCCCAGCTCCTGGCAAGTCCCTTAGGTTCCCGTTGTAGAACATGCCATAAACACAGTCACTTTAAATATTTATCCCCTAAGGCATGTCAGCCCATGCCAGGAGAGCAAAGTGTAATTCAGAGAGCTGCACAACACAAAGGGGGGGTGTCTGCGCCCTCCGCACGCGGCACCCGGCTTCGCGCGGCTGCTCCTCTCCGTCCCTTGTCCTGATCTGCCACCACATCTAGCCCTTACCCATCTATAGTGACAAAATTATTCTTATAAGACTCAAAAAAATTACTTTTTCCCCCCTTTTCCATCCTCATTTATCCTCTAAAAGGCTTCCTATTACTTTTTTTTTTTTTTAAGAATATTGGTATCTCTTTTCCTACCACAAACACAAGAACTCTTCTGTTTGGAAAATGACTGATGTTTTATGCAGGTTGTCTCCTTTTAGTCTTTTCAGTCCATTTGAGCAAATGTCCCTTGTTGTCATAAGGCTTCTCAGAACAATCCTCAGAGCTTCTCTGGTGTCCTTTTTTTCCCTGACTAAGCCGTTTAACAAGTATTATGCAACAAATCACAGAAGTTACCCAGATACTTATAAGCCAAAAAGGGCTGCACTGGTGTACCTGTCTTTACAGATTAGAATGTTATTATGTTTGCTGCTCAGGAGGAATAGTAATAATAATAATAATAAAATCATCCTGTTCGCCATGGCAGTTAATCTTCCTGGAAAATGTGTGTGCATATGATGAGGCAGATCCCCATGAACGTTTGTAAGTGAATATTAATATAACAGTGACTCACCTCTTGCATTTTTTTTTCAGAAATAAAAGGAAGGAAATTATGGGTTTGGGTTTTTTTTTTTTTTTTCCCAGAACGATTGTATTTGCCGAGGGGTGGTGCAGAAGCGAGGGGCTGAAACCCGTGCATGTGAAACCCGTGCATCGCAACGCGGATTAACCCGGCGCTGCCCAAAGTGCCGAAGGGAGCGAAGCGGAGCCGCCCGCG